TTCCTTGAAAGCCAACGAAGATAAGATTGGTCTAAAAGGCATATTCAAAGAGCTCTTATAGATTAAAGGTACTTTACGATAACTATGAATATCTGTCTATGACTCAGACTTTCCACAGTGGTATAACATGCTGTGAAAATAATAAATGTATAAATAATCCTTTCATGTTTGAAACTAGTATACAAAATTCTCCAAGAAGTCATTTTGTTGAAAATGATTCTCTTAATACTATAATGCAATGGAGAAGCGATACAATAAGGTGCATGCTTAAAGATATGCCTCAAATTGAACCCCTAAAATGCATATTATACAATGCTTGAAGGGACACATCTACCTGAACCTGAGCAAGCACATCTGACTCCTGTTTGTCTCGCAAGAGTCCATTGAAAGTAACCTCTTGATCAGACTTCGATTTGACGCACGCTTCGCTTGCACCATTTGTGAGGCGCAGTCCGGCCATCTCAACTAAGGAATCGATGTCCCCATTGAGACGAATGAATCTGTCAGTGGCTGTGGTCAGGATAATCTCGAACAGAGGAAGCAACGAATTATCGGTAGACGTGGTTAAATGAGAGCCGGCTAACAGGTAAAAATACAAAAATTTCAATATTTATAGTGATGGAAGCCCTATTAGGTTATCAAGCCAAAGTAAGGCACATTTTTAATGTTCATAAATGATCTGTTGTTCGATGACGCCTGGATTCATTTATGCATAACTTGTCCACTTATTAAAAAACGTTCCTTCGCGAAGCAAACCTTGGCGTCCGGTCTTGAAAGTAATCCATATACAAAATTACATAGTTGGCTGGACATGGCTGCGGTTTTATATATAGATAGTCAAATTGTTTTAAACGTACGTATAAGCCAAGTATTTGAATGGATAAAACAGTCTTAATTTAAAATTCACCCAATACTCTTATATTTGAAGTAACACCATTTTTGTTTATGTGCCTATTTCGCCATAAATTCTAATAAAAATTGCCTCTATCATTTAATACTTAGTCGGGATTCAACAAACTTCAAGACCTTTCCCTTTTAAAATATGATCTCCAAAAATTAAAAAAAATTCTGTAAGCATGCTTGTAATAACGACTTTAGAATTAAAAGCAAAATTGAAAGGAATAGAGGTATGAAGAGATATAAAAAGTTTAATAGCAAGTAAAATTTAAAAAACTCACGCTCGTTAAATGACTTTAAGGCATCAGAGCCAAGCAGCCGAAGACCAGCAGAACAAATATCAAGCAGATGGCGCAAAAGTTGCAGTTGCTTTGTGACCAAAAGTAAATAGTCCATTGCGGTGCTATCAAAAAGAAGAATTTGAAATCATAAACAACAAATAGGAATCTAAAAAGACATAAAAGTCTCCATGTAGGATACAGTAAGTCTGAAAAGCGGAAGATGTCAAGAATTTAGGTAGTACCAAATAAGCTTACACTAAGCAGACGGGAGCACAGGCCTAGGGGCTTCAAAAGCTGATTAATTACTTGACTCATGAGGTAAGGGAATGAATGATGAGTCTAGTTCATTAAAATGTTTAGGAATACTCTGAAGAGCTTTGATAATGTTTACAATAAGAATAAGTAAAAAAACGCAAGTCAGCCAATCAGTGAGAACTAATCCTACTCTGATCAAGTGTGGCAAAAGAATGTGCAAATAAATTATCTTAAAAATTAAAAGTATTATATAAAGATATTTAAGATCGCTATGGATATGGTGCTAGTCAGGACTCGCCTTATAAACGTTCGAAACAAAATTTACACTAATAAATAGATAGATCAGAAGAAAAAGAGTATATAAAGATCCAAATCAAAAAACGAATGT